TCTCCACCTCGTCAAAGCACACACACATACACACACACACACACACACACACACACACACACAGAGGTAGAGAGATAGACAGAGAAGGAGAGACATAAACTTGAGCGATATGGGTTTTTAAACACCAATATTTTTGGATTGACAGTGCCTTTTCAGTCGATTATACCGGAATAAATGCAAAGATTGAGCTTTTTCACTATCACATCACGCTACAGCCAGCAGTATTCCTAATAAAAGCCCAACATTGGTCTCATACATCCGTTTAATTCTCATCATCTGTTTGTACTGACTCTGTTTATGCCTTTTGTTTAAATACTGTCTGCTTAACTTAAAAGGCAAACGTGCATCCTGCGCTCTCTGGCATTCATATCGCCTTCTCAGAGGACATTTCCTGTTATTTACCAAAGGCTTTTCTCTGAGAACAGTTGGTATTTTAGTCTTAGCACACCCCACTCAAAACCTGTTTGCACAGATTTTCCCAATCATCCTTCAGACCATAGTTTGACAGAGACACTTCAACAAAATGAGATTCTGCCTCGTTACATTGTCTTATACTGTTACATCAAAAGTGTCACCGGCCCACTCCATGAATAACAAGTCTAACAAACCAAAAAGCCTTATGATATTAGATTTCCATAAACCTTCTGCTGGCTGCCTCCTCGTAGGGATTGTGTATCATCCACTCAAAATGCTCTCCTAGATGGAAATGTGCAGACTAAATCTGATCATGGCGCTAGATAATGTTCACTTCTCACTCCTGAAACACAGACTCGGGTAGGAAACGGAGGGGATCCTGTGACTAACCCATCAATCACGCTGACGTTGTGCTCGAGTGATGGATATTCTAATTTCCCTTTTATATACAGGTGCAGAGGATGGATGGATGACGATTAATGGACGGGCAAGGCTGTTTCCAGAAAACAAAGAAAGACGCAGCACGGCCTGCGGCATCACTTTGGAGGGCAGGGAGCTACATTTCCCCATGTTTTGAAGATGATACCTCACATTTGGGACTTGATTTCCCTGTAAACACGTGAAGACAAAGTATACATCCTGAGGTGACAAAGGTGTTGCTAACACAACAATTGTCTTCCCTCTGGGGGGACCTACAACAGGTTCTGCAGTCACTTCTATGACAGCCCTCGACACCCTCGCCTCGCCTCATTTTCACGCAACCTGTTTCTCGCATTCTGTCATTGCTATCACCTCCATAATTATTCCTTAACTTTCACCCCACCTCAGACTGCTTCGACCGTAATTTATTTAAAAACGTCATCCTCCTCAGGCCAACTCTTTCAAGACGCTGTGCTTATCTGTCAAACTCTTCAAAGTCGGAGTCGTGCCAAACATCCTTTTGATGAAATCTTCTGACATATCGGCGCTGCAGGCTTGGATCTCTGAAGATGTCTCCTCAACAATCTCTTTCTTTTCAAGCACAACTTTCTTCTCTCTGTGTTTGGCTTTTAAGCAAACACCTCTTTCATAACGGTCCTTCCGTTTAACCGTTTGCACCGTGCTGGAGGTTAAATGGTTTCACCCCACTAATTGGCCAAAGACATGGCTGACATGGAGGCAAACAATGGGGAGGAAGGAGTGGCCCAGTCGTGTA